CTACAAACAAGTTCCTTGAGGTAACTTCTCTTTTTTTGTGTGCTTCCACTGCTTAGTACAGTGCCAGTCACACAAAGGCACATAATATACATGGCAGATTTATATATTGAGAAAATAAAGTCACACAGTACTGCTGATGTTGCTATAATGTTGTGTGATTTATTTTCTGGTGAAAAATAAATCAAAAAGCATTATAGCTGATTCACTGCTCTTCTGCAAGGCTGTTTCAGAATTAAGAGTCAGGTTAACATTTAAAAGTTAAAACTGCTAGAACATATGGTATCTTATTTGATTTTAAAAAGCATAGCCAACAAACAGGGAAGATATTATTATTCCCATTTGTAAAAGGACAAAACTGGTGCACAGAAGAAAGTGACTTATATAAGGAATGCAGATATTTATAGGCCTCATCTAGCCCCACATGTTGATTCCTGATTAAGCCCTCCTGTTTGGGCCACTTTGCTTCCTGCAGCAATAACACTGTGGGACTTACTGAATGGTAATTGATATACTGCACCAGGTCATTTTTCTAAAGCAGTCACTGAGCCCTCTGAAAATCTGGATCCACCAAAGCACGTCCAGATACTTTTTGATTGTCTTAGCAAAAACCAAAACTCTCTCCAGATTGATGAAATAAAGGATATTTGGGAAGTAAAGACCTTGTAGGAGGCAATACTTTCAGGGACAATATGCAATGCACTTAGAATAAGCTGTATACTGTAATAAGTTGTATATCAAATTCCTTGTGAATATGGTTTTTTTCCTGAAATAACAGAACTGGTAGAAATAAGGCAGATGTAAGTTGGTAAATTTGAATATACACATCTATAAGAATGAAATTATGCTATTATCTCACAACATATACAGAAAACAAAGTAGATTGAAGATTTAAGACCTGCCCGAAACTGGGGAAAAAACAGAAAAAAACAGGGGAAAAAAAATCTATAACATTTGTCTGGTTTTGTACATGACCCCAAAAGAATAGACAACAAAACAAAAATATACAAATGGGATTTTTTCAAACTAAAAAGATTTTGTATAGTAAATGAAACAGTGAACAGAGTAAAGGGATACTCTACGGAATGGGAAAATTGTCTGTAAATCATTACATCTGATAGGGAGTTCATATGCAAAATATCTGAAGAAATCAAAGTCAATAGAAGAAAACAGCACAATTAAAATTGAATAAAGGACCTAAATAGATATTTCTTAAAGAAGACATACCAATAGGAAATAGGTATATGGAAAATTGCTGGTTAACACTAATCATCAGGGAAATGCAAACTAAAATCATAATGAGATATAACTTCATACTTGTTAAAAAAGGTAATGTTAGTGTATGAAGGAAAGGGACCCCATGTACACCATTGATGGGAGTGTAAATTAGTACAGCTATTATGGAAAACAGGATGTTCCTTAAAAAATTAAAAAAAAATCCTGCTACAGTACCTAGAAACTTCACTACTGGGTATATAACTTAAAGAATTGAAATCGGTATATCAAAGAGATACCTATACTTCCATAATCATTTCAGTATTATCCACAATAGCTAAGTTATAAAATCCACCAATTAATGAATAAAGAGAATGTGGTGTTTATATATATATAATGAAACACTATTCAGCAGTACATATTCTGTTATTTACAACAATGTGTTTGAATCTAGAAAACATTAATATGACAAGTAGAGTAAGCCAGGCATAGAAAGATAAAAACTGCAGGAACTCGTTTATATGTGGATTCTAAAAGCTTGAAGCCATAGAAGTAGAGAGTAGAATGGCAGTTAACAAGGACTAAGGTGGTGGGGGAAGAGATTGGGTGGATGTCAAAGGACACCAAATTTGATTAGATAAGAATAAGTTCAAGGGATCTATTGCAGAACATGGTGACTACACTTAATACCAAAGCGTCATACACTTGAAAATTGCTGAGAGTAGACTTAAAGTATTCTCACAAGTGAGTAATACATGTTAATTAACTTGATTTGTCATCCCACTATATATATAATTCAAAACAGCATGTTGTACACCATAAATACATACAATTATTTGTCAATTAAAATACATTAAAAAAAGACACACATTGATCATCGGATTTATATGCCCTACCTCCAAATTCCCGTCAATGTTTGTAGGTTAATTTTAAAGGATTTGCTTATGTATGTACTTATATGTGCTTCAGGATCAGTAACTCATCTAATCTTAAAATCACACTTGAAGTTAACCCCATCAATATCATGAGCTTACCAATTTAAAAAAAAAAAAAAAAGACTTGAAAACAAATAAACTGAGGGAGCTTGTGTGCGTAACCACAGCCTCCTTCCCTGGAAAATGACTTGTTGGAGGGGAATGTGCTATATCATTAACACATACTGCCCAATAGTGGATTCAATTATTTGTTTAACTATCTACAAAAGGTTCTGACCAAAGAACAATTAAGATGAAACTATTTCAGTAGGTAAAGAAAAACTGAAAATATTATGTGTGATGAAATATTTACCCTCAAAGGGGACTCAATAAATAGGAGGACCCATGAGAGTACAATTTATCTAAAAGTGCTTATTGAACACCTGTGGTGTGCTAGAGGTCACACTATTAACTATGGCTGGATAACGATGAATAGATTTTAATTCCTGTTTTACAGAAGTTCACAGTCTAGTAAGGCCAGCAAAACAAGTAGGTGAACAGACACAGCATGTACTAAGCAAGTCAAATTGCATAAAATGAATACATCAGGTATCAAGTGAAAGTAGCTCTGACCAGAAAACCCCCAGGGAGAGTTGATATTTGTGCTGGGTATGTAACAAACAGGAAAGGTTTATGAGGTGGAGAATTTGGAGAAGGACATTATAAGAAGGGGAACATCAAGTTCACTGAAGAGCAAAGCTTTGTGAAAGGACCTGACCTTGTGAGACAGGCTAGATGAGAATGGAGGACCGTGGGTATGGGATGGAATGGTACGAAATAAAGCAGGATAGTTAATGCTGGTTCAACTTGTGAAGGATCTTACAACGCACACTAAAAATTTGAACAATGGTCAATGGTTCTCATTTGGGGGTGATTTCTTTTGGTCTCCTGTGGGGTATTAGACAATTTCTGAAGACATTCTGAATTGTTACAGAGAAGGAGATACTATTAGTATTTAGTGAGCAGAGGCCAGAGATGCTGCTAAATACCCTAAAATGTGCAAGAAAAGAGTCCAGAGCAAATACTTCTCTAGTCCAAAATTTCAGCAGTCGCATTATTCACAAATTTTGCTATAAGTAATAGATAGGACTTTTTATTAGAATATTGACATCGACATTTTTATTTTTATAAATACACCATAATTTTTGGAGTTGGAAGTTGGAAGAAATTTGTGTCAGCGTCACTTTTTAGTAAGGAGCGACCATTTATTAAAGGCTCATTATGTGTGAGGCAAAAAAAAAAAAAAAAAAAAAAAACCCTAAGAACATCTGAATCATTAGAAATATTGCTCCAAATAACCAATCTCTTGAGATGGTATAGATGTAAGTAGATTAAACATTTTTGCCAAGGTTATCCAGTTAGTAGGCAGCCAAGTTAGGGTTTAAATTCTAAATCTAATACCTGTGCCCCAAACCACAATATCCTGCCTCTGTAGTCCCTGAATAAATATTCAAGTGTGCTGAATTTTGCGAGTAAGAATGGGAATGAAAAGAGAAGTTGGATTTGAGAGACATTTGAGGTGGATTTAACGAACATGATTTGAAACACATTTGATGTGAAGGGTGAGGAGAGAAGGGAGTTGGGCTGACACTGAGGTTTCTAATGTCAATAAGACTAACGATAGGCTATTTAATAGTATTTCGTTAAGAAGCTTTCAATAGTATCAAGGTCATACCAAGTTATTCCCTCAGAGTGCCCAAGAAAATCTTGAGGAGGTGAGAAGGGGAGGGGAAGAAGCAATGAGGTAATTTCTAGGTGTGTTGATGTTGTGGTACCCGTGGAGTGTGAAGGTGGGAACTCGCATAATATTTTAGGGTATGTGGTAGAGACTGACAGAAATGTTTGGAAACCATTAGCCTACAAGTGGTGGTTGAAACCTTTGTGGAATTCATGAGAAGATCCATAAAGAAGTAGGAGGAAAAGTAAAGGACCAGAGAAAGTTCTTGGGGTGGGGGAGAATTCCTAAGGCAGTAAAATGCCAGAGGAGTAGGGAGAGGGCACAGTTTTTTAAAGTCTAGAGTTAATCATCACCCTCTCCCCATTTGTGTCCTCCTCCTGGTCCTCCTCCTCCTCTTCCTTCCTCCTCCTCTTCCTCTCTCCCTCTCTTCTTCCTTCACCTTTTATTTGTTTTCTCTCCACTCCCCTTCCTCCTCCTCTGTCATCTTCCCTTTTTTCTCTTTCCCAGTCCTTCTTTCCCCCCACCTGTTTGTCTGTCCTGGCCCATCCTTCTTCACTGTCTTCCTCTTCCACCTTCTTCCAGCCACAGCGGCAATTTCGAGCGTTTGGCCAAGGTGACCCATCTCACTAAATTCCTACGCAGACGTTGCATGTCTCAGGATGTATTATAAAAGAAACTCCAGAGCTTCTTCGCCTGGACCATGGGTAAGAGAAGGGACTCAGGAAAGAATTTGGTTAGAGGGGTCTGTCACAGTGTTAGGGCAAGCCCAACATAGTGGTAGACTCCCTTGCCAAGACTTCCCCTAGACTGTGTTTTATGTTATGTAATTTTGTGTGTAGCCAGAGCAGGGATTAGTCAAGGCCTTACACATTCTGATTCAGCATGTATGACCAAGGTCATAAACATGGACAATGAACATGCACTCCCCCACCCCTGCCCCTTATATAACCTGTTGGCAGTGTGCCTTGTTTGAACTGTCTATAAAAAGGGACTGTGGAAATGGCTCAAGGGGCTGGCCAATGGCTATGGCTACCTCCATCTTCTTTAAATTCCTAGATCCTCAAACCTTGGTTCCTGGGCCTGAGCCTTGCCCTCACCCAACACATGACCTCACAGAACACACTCAGAAACCTAGCTTAGCAAAGACAGAATTAGATTGTTTATTTTCAGTGAGTAACACAGAGTATTTGAAGTCATGCAAAATTTTAAAGACAACAAAGGTAAACCTTTATTTGTTCCAGATTATTTTTTGGCTATCTTCTTTTACTCCTGTTCATATCTCAGTTATAGAACTCTTTTTCCATCGTTGATCTGGCGTCTGTGTTTCTCCTTCCTGAAACTCATCAGTGGTAGGTGTATTTTACCTAACATACAGTTGATAACCTATAATATATTAAACAAAATAACAAAGTATTGTTTTGAGTCAGTATTATAGTGTGTAGAATTTCTTGTACATTTACAAAGGTTTTTGTAAACTTAAGGATGCTATTCTCTCGGATTAGGGAGAGGGTGTTTTGTATAAGTCTGTACTTTTGTCACTTGTACCTCCCAGGTCAGTGATCTTTATGGGCAATCCTGCTGCTCTCTGAAGTGATGTTCACACTGTAAACTTGGCACATCTCTGCTCTGGGGTGATCAGTATTAGCATATGTAAATGCTCACAGGTAAACTCACTAGACCAAAGCATTTATTCTTTTTGGTAAAAATCAACATTAGATTACCTTCTGCCAGGAGGCTGAGCAAGTCTTCATGTGGTAAGGCTGTTAGATAGAACTACCAGTGATAGAATTTCCAAGGATGGGTTATGGCTAGCCATTCCTTCCTCTTCTGGCCTCTGGAAAAGTGCAAACAGCAAGTTACTAAATGACAACTTAAACACATTGAAGGACATTCATTCCTAAGAGAGACAGTAACCAAGCAAGACAAGGGTCCTCACACAAAAACACATTTTTAAAAGATGATTTGCTGCTTTTTGAATAGCTGCTACTTTGTAGACTTTTCATGACTTGATGTTTCTGCTTGGATTTGGAATAACTAGTTGCCTGCCTGATTCAAATTTATTTTCCTCTTCCAAACTTATTTGCTGTGTAGACACAATCTTGATGAAACCTGTTTGACAAGGTAACCCAAAGGAAAATTTCAGATGTGGTGGAGCCCCCACCCATCCTTACCCAAATTTCTGAGTGGAATTTTGGAAAGCACTGATGACCTTTTGTAAATGTGCCACACCTCAACTTCTCATTTTTCCATTCTATGAGCAGTACTTTCTTATCCTGCTCTTCATCAAAGCAAACCAGACAACTCCAGGTACTTCCCTTAAATATTTTAGCAGCTGGATTTCAGCACCTAGACCAGATCAGAGTAAGCAAGATCACCTTTGGTGTGTGCTCTCCTAAGCCACTGATTCCGATTAGTCTGAGGAAAAGCACAAATGACTTCCAGCTGAAGCAAGCTTCATCCCTATCCAGCTGGCTCAAGTTGAGGAAAACTTCCTGTTGGCTCCCTGAACAGACCTACAGCCTTCTGACCAGGTCTTGGTTGGAGTTCAGGCATGAGAAATGTGAGGATACGCCCTTCTTATCCAACCACTGCAGAGGGGATTCAGATAATTAAGTCCTCTAGTGTCTTTCCAACACTGGACAGATGCATTTTCTGTCATTGTGGAATATAAATAGATCTGGGAATGCCTGTATAACAGGACATTGCAGCTAATTTTTCCTCTCTGATGGGTTGCCAGTACTTTGAAAATGTTTCCTTACTCTTTCATGAAAGAGCATCCTTGATTCAGGGGGTATTTTGGTTGAAGAATCACATTGGTCCTCATTTTACAAATTCATTGCTCCTGATTAAGAAAGCCAAAGTAACCTGCCAACTACCTGCTTGTGATGCTTTTTGAGTCTGCATTTTCTCCTGAAACTCAGTCTGGAAATTTTCTCCTTCATAATTTTAAGAAACTAGAGAATCACTATAGACATGTTCTTTTTGATGGGCACTTATGGGTCCATTTGGGATTATAGGTTGAATATCCCTTCCATGAAATGCTTAGTAACAGATTTTTGGGTTTTTAAAAAATTTTGCATATGCATAATGAGATACATTGGGAATGTGACCCAAGTCTAAGCAAGAAATTTATTATGCCTTATATATATCCTGGAGGTAATTTTATAAGTTATTCTTAGTGTGCCTGTGTTGTGACTACAACATGCTACATGAGGCCAGATGTGCAATTTTTCATTTCTTACACCATGTTGGCACTCAAAAAGTTTGAAATTTTGAAGCATTTCATGGTTTGGATTTTGGGTTAGGGATTCTCAATCTGCATTAATTAGTGAAAGGTCAAACTAATTGGATAATGGAATAACCAATGCCTGACTGGTTCAATTTTTTTTCCTCCTCCAAACTTATTTGCTATGTAGACACAATCTTGATGAAACCTGTTTGACAAGGCAACCCAAAGGAAAATTTCAAATGTGGTGGAGCACCACATCCCATCCTTACCCAAATTTCTGAGTGGAATTTCGGGAAGCACTGATGACCTTTTGTAAGTGTGCCACACCTCAGCTTCTCATTTTTACACTCTATCAGCAGTTTTCTTTCTGATCTTGCTATTTGCATTGGGTTGGCATTGATCATAGAATGCATTCCTTTGGGCACAGGTTAGAGTTTGACTCAGTTTGACTTATTACAGGTGAGTCAGAGTACAGTGGGAGAAAGCAGTATATTATGGTGATGTGATGCATCAATGCACAGGCTCTTCAGAAACACTCTAAAGTTTTAATTTGCTTTAAGGCAGTATTGTACTTACCCTCACTAGATCTTGTCAATTAAAAAAATGCCAAGTCATCTCATCTCCTAAACAAACTGCATTTTTCTTATTCATCTCACAGTGTATCAATCAGAGCATATTAGTCCCCAAATATTTCACTTTGCCATATGGCTTATTTTTAGTGAAAGGCAATTAAAACCAACAGATTAAAAAATAAACCTTCTTGGGCATCCCTTATCTGACTAAAAGAAATGTCTGAGAAATGAAAACTGTCCTCTTTCTAATGGGAGTTTTATGGCCATGAAGAAGAGAGAAAGTCGGCACCAAGAGAAGTTCACACACATACACACATACAAAATAATCCTTATCTTCCATTGGTTTCCCCATGTAAATCTTTCCACTTGTCTCGAGTGGCACTATTAATAATTATTTGGAGGTGGATTGTCTTTAAATGCAAGTGTATATTCGATCACACCAATCATCAAACATACAAATTAATGCAAAAAATGTTATGTGTGTGGGAGCAACCCAACTAGCATTTATTGCACACCAATTAAACACAATAAGCCAATCACACAATCCTAGGGCAATCACAAGCCCCCAAATACCTCCAATGCCACGTGACTTCTCTTTGCCAAAGAGCAGACATTTTCTTTGTCTGGCGGTTTTCTCCAGCCGATGGCTGGAGATCAAGGAATGGTAGAGTCAGTCCAGGGACAGACAGCAAGGCAGCCAGTCTCAACGATGTCCTTGGAGCAAAAATCCTCAATGTGGCAGGACCAGAGATTTAAATACTGTTTCAAGTTGGTGGTATACACTGGTGAGTGGTTACACCCAATGAAAGTCAGTGTTCATTGGTTAGGTCCAGTGAGGTGATGTAATTGCAGCTGGGCATGTTCTTTGTGCATGTCCATGGAGCTGTGCTTCCTATAAACTGTAACCCATCATTGCTTAGCATGCATATGGCTAGTGCCCCTTACAGCTCCTTATCAACTGCAAGCAGACATGACTAAGCAGTTCAATGGCTGCTGCTCCTTATGGCCAGCAACTGAGTGAGTCCTAGCCTGTGCCAGTATGTCTATGGCAGATGCTCCTTACATCACTATTTACCAACTCTAGAAGTTGAACACCCTCCTTCCTTTATCTAGTCACTTTCCCTCATTCCATAGTGCTTTGTTAAAATGGTATATATGCTCTGAGTCTCCCTGTGTTTTGGTGAGGTCTATGGCTTGTGTATAAAAATATTATTAAGAAAACTTTTCTTATAATTTGTCACTTATCAGTTTATGGCCCTCATGTATTGAACTCAGAGATTAGTGGAAAAGGGTTTTTCTTCCTTTCTTTATAGTACAAAGTTAAGACTAAGACTCCTAAAAGAAAATGAAAAACCAAAGTCATATTCTTTTGTGAAAGGTAGCTAATATACCACAACACTTTTACCACTTTGTATAGTTTGTTATATATTTCTTGTTGAGAAAGAATGTAAAAACAAGGAGAGTGAAGGAATTTAATTAAAACTGGGTCTACTTGGAATTACTGAGGTGTCTATTTTGTTTGAATTGATTGGAGAATTTTCCTATTTTGATCAACTAAAAAATACCAGTTTGCCTGTTATTTTCCCCATGAGCTGAAAAGTACTTAAGGAAACAAGTATGATATGTAAAAACTCGAGCTTTAGATCACACAGATCTGGGTAAATCCAGTGCATTGTTACATAAAGACTAGTTATGAGAGTTCTTGCAGTATAATTTTTAGTCTGGATTGGCTAAATTACCAGCAGAAAAATTAGTTGATCCCAAGATCCTGAAATCTCCATCTGATATTTATTGTAGTCCATGGAAAGCTGCACTATTTCTGGAGCTTATATTTAAGTGATTTGTTGAAAATTCAAAAGAGATCAGGTATTGTGAGCCTCCATGCTTGGCCTTCTGCAATGAAATATCCAGCTTACTTTTTTTTTTAGAGAAAGCTCTGCATTTTTCATAAGCAGAGCAAGAAGCCGATGGAATCCTTTTGGTACTCTACAGCAGAAGTGAACTGAGAAGTCCTACACTGCTTATTTATGTGTATAGTTTAATGCTAAAATGTGCCATTAAAGGTGAAGACCACATCTAGTGTCAAAGCAGTTAAAATCTTAAACATCCCTAATGACTTCTTTTAAGTCATTGCTATTTCTTACAAAAACAAACCAGTGCTAGATTAAGTGCAGGGCACTCACATTACAAATGATACCAGTCATCTGGATTTCTCATTATGAAGCTTCTGCCAAGTTCAGACTCTTTGCCAAGGATGATTTAACCATTCAGAGTGTCAAACTGACCTTGGGCTTGGGGGTGGGGAGAAACCTAATTGCCCGAGCATCATTTTTCTCAAATTCTAAAATACTGGAGATTAAACCATCAATTTGACAACCTTTCTTCACCACTGTAGTTAAAATCTACACCCTACATAATTGCACTATTGAAAACTGTGTGTGCTGGAGGCCTCTGCAGCTTTCACATATTAAATCAAATAAGAACTTTAAGAAAGGTTTTAGAGGACAAGGGGAGAAAATAGAGATAAATGTATTAGAGCCCCAGAGTTGGCAAAATTAAATATGATGGTTGTTTAATTGCAGGGATCTGCTTAAGTGTGTGTGTTTTCACTGCTCTGAAAAAATATTAGGATACAGTGGTAGGCCTGTTTAACAGGGAGTAAAATATTGTCTGAGCCATGATCCACAGTTCTGAATGCCTTCAAAAGTATGATTCTAAGTCTTAAACATAAGTACCAATAATTAGTTTTAAATGTTTCCTAGTCACTCTGCTATTAGACTGGTGGATACAATTGTAAGAGAGCAAATGGAACCATACTTTGCATCATCATTAAAGTCATTAGAAGTGTTATGGAACCCTGGCTGTCATTAAGCCATTTCTTTTAATGCTGAATAAAATGGTATGTCCTGGTTATGGCTAAAGGATTTTTGTTTTAAATATTCTAGAAGTGGTTTGTCCTTTGTAGTAGGTAGACACTGCTTTCAAAGAAGGCAAGTCTTAGTGAACTCTACTATACACATTCAGAAACCATCTTTCTCAAAACAACAGAGAGTGGCCACAAGAAAAAGTAGATGAGAAGGCAGTTAGTGGTGAGTGAGATTCATAAGAAGATCTCTGCTCGATCTTGAGGCCCTGGGTTCAGTCCCCACATGAAAAATAGGGAAAACAAAAACTCTTACTGATCCAAATTATTTTCCAACTCATACCAAAAAAAATTCTCCATCTGGGCATCACATTTAGTGATAGGAATTGTATTTTGGGGTCCCTGTTGGATTACACAAGTTGATTTCCCCACTATTTCTGGTCTCCCCTCAAACCCACTGAAGTCCAAGGGAGATGTTTTGGACAATCCTAACAAACTATGCATAGCAATACAGTTCCATTTCATGTGCACCTACTACATGTGATACGGTTTTACATGTTATTGTATTTAATGTATTATTCATGAAATTCTTCTGAGAACGGATTTTAACTCTATTCGTTAATCGACCAAAAAATAGATTAAGTATATGGCTCAACATTGTACAACTAATGTTCAGTGAAAGTGAGATTAAAATTCAGTCCTGCCTTATTCCAAAACCCAGTTTTCCACTACAAAGAAGTTCTATCCATACTTGTTTACTGTTCTCCCAGACATCCTGATTGTATAGGTGTTTGTTAGTATTTCTTTTAAATGTATCTTTCAGCTTATGAATTTTGAATAGGCTGTAAAATGATTCATGAGAGATTTATACACATGCGCACACACACACACACACACACACGTTATAGATGGGCACAATACCTTTATTTGTTTATTTTTTACGTGGTGCCAGGGATCAAACCCAGTGTCTCACACATACTAGGCAAGCACTCTACCACTGAGCTATAAACCTGACCCTGGGAGATTTTTTTTAATTGATATATACACACAATGAAATATTACTCAGCCATAAAGAAGAATGAAATTATGGCATTTGAGGGTAAATGGATAGAACTGGAGACTATCATGCTAAGTGAAATAAGTCAATTCCCCCCAAACCAAAGACTGAAGTGTTCTTTTTAATATGAGGATGCTGACTCACAATAAGCAGGGAGGTGAGGGAGTGGAGGTTCACCAGATTAGACAGGGGGGAGTGGGGGCAGGGAGAGAGAGGAATGGGAAAGGGAAAGACAGTAGAAGGAATTGGACATAACATTCCTATGTTCATATATGAATACTCAACCAGCGTAACTCCGCATCATGTACAACCTCAACAATGGGAAGTTATACTCCATGAATGTACAATATATTAAAATACATACTACTGTCAGGTATAACTAAAAACAACAAATAAAAAAAATAGAAAATAAAAAATAAAAAAAACAATTGTTTGGAAGATTGACTTAAATGTAGTTTTGCGCTAGAAGCCGCTCTGTAAACCCACTTCCAGGATTTGTCAGGAAGGTTGACATTCACTCATTCATTTGCAAGTTCCTTGCTAGGAAAGAAATTGGAGAACCCAATTAAAAGTAGTCACTATGCTGTGCTGTACTTACTAGGCAAATTAATTGCCCCTTGATTCTAAATAGGAATTGCAGGTAACCTTGAGGGAAAAAGGTTAAAAAAATAATTAGCTTTGTCATTTTTGGATGATCAGAAAGGTTTAGTATTAAGATAGAATTTTAGATGTCTTGGATTTGTGCAACCTCTGAACATGTCAGTTTGAGGTTCTTTTTCTTTATATTCTTTTTAATCTACATGTCCTGACACTTCTTTGTTTATTTTGGTGTTGAAAGAGTTGCAATTTATCATTTATACTGTTGAAATCTGCTTCTTTGGATTATCTTCCCCAAGTTGAAGGACAAAATTATGCCTGAGGGCAAAGCTGTTAAAAAACCAAAGATAAAGTTTATCTTGGCTTTGCTCCTCCTCCCATTCTTGGTCTATTTAATTTGTTTCAATTATTAATGCCTAATATTGTCATATTTCCCTAATTCCTACCCATTGTTAAAGTATTTAACAAATTCATTAATACTAATGATTACTAAATTAATTATATACTTTTCAGAATTATTTATCTTAAAAGAGAAAATCTAAGAGGAGGATTAATAATTATTTCAAAAGCATATAATGACTAATTGTGAGAATGTGTGTGTGTGTGTTTTTTTAATCTCCTCTTTTTGGGAAGTTGAACTTTTCCCACTCAGTGATTATGTGAGCCAGCCAGGCGGGTTAACTTTGGGTGCTTCATCTCCTTAGCAATAGAGATTAGTTCAAGGTTTCTGGTCTTGAGTCATATATAAGACCAAAGTCCTTTCTTGGAATCAATCAGGAGATGGAGGAAGATAATTGTTCTTTCTGCTGGGATGACTAAAGCAGGTAATAGTGAGAATAAAGTCCCCAGGCAATCAATTTTGGCTCTGTTGGAAGAAGCTCCAATGCAGTACAAAAAAAGTTAGCACACAGAAGAGCCAAGAGAGGCTCTTCCAATGTCACTCTTTTAAAGTCAATTGGATTTAACTACTAGCCAGTGATGTGTGTGTGTGTGTGTTATTCACACAACTTCTTCCTTATGTGGGAAGTGCCTGGGATGGGTATGTGAGTCAGAAGACTAGCTTTCCCAGTTATGGTGACCTGTAAGCTACTGGTCTCCATCCTGATTTTTGGAGGATTGAAATTGGAGCTTGATATTGGTTGATTTGAGGAATCTTTGGACTTGGAATTGAAAGAGTCTCAACTGATATTTTCATCATAGAATTTAAGATAATTTTCAAAGGACATATTTTTGGGTGGACAATATTTCTGTTGCCTCTTTCTTACATGTTGTACATGATGATTTGCTGCTGGCTTTGAATAATCTTTCTATATTGACATTAAAACCTGAACTTATTTTCTGGGGAGCAGTTGTATTGTGTTTT